ACAACTCCACGCAGGACAAGGGTTGAGCTCCAACATGAAGCGGTACCACCAACACCCATGCTTACTACAAGACAACAAGACAATGGAGGCATCGCGACTGAATCCAGCAGACGCGTTGTGTCCGTACTCTCAAGATTGAAAGCAAGCGATCGCGATACACAGTTGTCGGGGCTTGCTACAATCTTTGACGATCTAAAACGTGACTTGGGCTTGATCACTTCTCCTAAGGGAACAGAGATCCTTCTTCAACTTGTTCGATGTTTCGGAGATACTTTGGAACGTCTTCAGAATAATTCCGGATTTGAAGATGATCCCGCTGTCTTGAAATCTTTTCTAAAGGGCGTCATCCGATATGCACGAGAGCCTACGCTCTTAAGACAACTGGATCAATCTTCAGTTGAATTCCTTCTGGGCGATGCTCTAAGTGCTATGGTGCCTCAGGCTGTTTCTGGAGTGGAAGACTGGGATCAAGTTCGTAGAGGTGTCAATCTCATGATTGTTAAAGTTCTGGAATCATGCGATCAGAATCTTTTGCTAACTGCACTTATTAATCTCTTGTTGATCAACATCAGGGCGATTCAACGTTGCGATGAAGAGAAGCCATCTGCATTAGCCAAATCATCTATATGCATCAAGTCTATTGCGAAAGTTGCCAAACGAGGATTTGCAGCCTGTCGAGTGAATGAACTCCTTAGGGATATCCATTTATTCTTGATGGCGAACCCGGTTCGGCGGGACGGTGACACCTCAGCTGAAGATCAAACTTTCGCGATGCGCCTGCTGAAGACCGTTGTGAACGCCATAATCGGCGAGATTGGTACTGGAATTCGGCAAAACCTAGATCTGATCCCTAATCCAGAGAAGTCTCAATTGGTACATTACATTGATATGACGTTGCGCGATGTGGACATGAAGAATCCGAACGGTTTCACAGAATCAGCATCACCAGCCTCAGATCCCATAGAGCTTAACAGGCAATATGAAGGGAATGCGTTAGTTGAAGAAGCTCTTGCAAAGATTGTGCCTGGAGACGAGTCAGACGAGTCCTTGCGATTCCTGCAGTCTGTACTACGCAGTTACACTGACGTGGATTTGCAGCCGCACCTCGAAAAATGCTCATTGGAACTTAGAGAATATGTTAATACAGGTATTCGAAGGATAGAAGCTGAAACCACTAACTCACCTACAAGCATCGAGGGATCAGTTGGTCCAGGTGCGAGCACAAGCACCAACTCTCCGGGTAATGGAGAAGACACCTCGGGGTCTGCTTCACACACAAGTAATTCTACACCTTCAAACAGTGCTGGCCAAGTGTACTTGAAACGACTGCACGAGATTCAGCTTCGATACGGCTTGCAGAGCACTTCAAGGGGTCAGCATGAAGGGGAAGGCAGGTCAAGTCTTGGTGAAAAGGAAAATGGGGAACTGGACATGACGTCCTCCCCTGAAGAGGCGATGGGTAAGGCTTTTACATTACGCGAACGAATGGCTCGCATTCGAGAAATGCAAGGCTCATCAAAGCATTGACTTGACATATCAGATGTGAGTATGCGCGTTGACAAGCGCTGAGCAATCATCAGACTCGCAAACGGTATGCGATGGCACAGACAGCACAGAACAAGCCCATGTCCACACCTTGACTTTAGTTGACGCTTATGACTTCCACATGGGACGAACCTGTACCATAAACGTGAACTAGATTTCCATGAGGTCCAGAAACCTTCCTTGCAACGGCATCTCCAATAAGAAGCTCAGGACTGCAGCCGACTGTAGAGCAAGAACTACAGTAGGTTCAGACTGCGACCACGACAACCTGCGTTATGAGCACTGGGGTAAGGGTTAGATTGCTAGGAATTGACGGGTTAAGCCTTCCCACTACTGACATTATCAGCCCTTCACCATATTTCATGCCAAAGCGAGTGTCCCCAATGGTCTCATAAAACGTACGCCAACTATGCATGAACAACATGGACTGGGTGTTAAGACATCATCAGCAAATAGCCTGAAAGAATGCTGGTTTTCCTACGAGAGAACGCTACTTTCAACTGAAGCCTTCTGCACTTAGGACAGTTTGACAGTAAGGGTTAGCGATCGCTAACCCCGAATTCCCTGGTCTCCGTGGGAGACCCGCGCGCGAGCCCATTTCGTTCCGACCGCTTAGTCGCGACTCGGATTCAGACACACCACGTGAAGGCGGGCTGCGTGTTTCCACTAAGTGGGCATTAAACTAGTGTGGCCGTAAAGGAGAGAGAGAGAACAAGTACGCAAGATCTCAGAAGAAACAAATCCTAATCGTTGCGCCACAGCGCTTCACATAGCGGTATCCTTGTCTCTTAGTTGCCAACTTCAAGGGCTCCAATATCAAATGCTATAGGATTAACCCTCTCAGCCTTGTAATTGCGTTGCAGCGCCCGAGCTCCTTGTGTACCTTTGGTACCTTGGATATCGGAGGCACTGAGCACCAGCAAAAAAAAAGCTTCGAATCATTTAGTTCGTTTTGTGAATTAGATAAAGGGTTCAGGATTAAGGAAGGCTTTTACCCTCAACCCTGTTACCGACCTGCCTCCGGGTCCTCTCTAGAAGCGCAGTTGTCAATACCGCGCTGTCCCTCGATGATGTCTATTTGCCGACGGAGATCATCCATGGCTGCAGATGAGTTATTTTCAGCGCTTCAAGATGAGAATACTGAATCAAGAAGGAATGCCATAGAGATTGTGCAGGATCGCGGTTTAACATCAGTACAAGAGGAGCTAAGCCGTCCAGCGCTCGTCCAAGATGAAGGGACTATGCTGCTTCATATGGCCATTGCGTCACTTGACTTAAGTCTTGGAGCTACACTTGAAACTATTCACCTACAAAGAAGCAGTAACGAAAGGAGTTCTAGCGCAACATTTGAGGCAGCGGCAACGGCGCTGAAGGTTAACATTCTCAAGACAGGATGCAAATCAATCGACCACATTCTTGGCGGTGGCATACTTGTGAATGGTGGATCGATCATAGAGATTAGCGGAAAAAGCTGGCGTCGGAAAAACACAACTGGCTATGCAGATTGCGTTAATGGCAACGGCACCTCTTATTCACGGTGGTCTACAATGTCAGTGCATATATACATTCATAGAAGGTCGACCTCCGATCAAGCGCATGAGTCAGATTGAAAGGGCATTATGTTCAAAGTTTAAGATGACGAGTGGAACGTTGTTACACGGAGTAGTGGTAGAAACGATTCGTTCAGCAGATGAGCTACTCGTATGGTCGGAGACAAGACTACCTTATCTACTTCGTAAAACAGAGGCAAGGGTGGTTGTTATTGATAGCATTGCCGCTGTGTATCGGCCTGAATTCAAAGACGCTCTGTCCAGGACGCGACATATGGCGCAGACCAGCGCGGCGTTGAAACGGGCTACAGCCGCCGTTCAAGGAGTATGCGTGTGTTTGAATCAAGTCAGCCAGAAAGTGGATAGCCTCGGATTTGGTAAAATTGTACCAGCTCTCGGGAGTGTGTGGGGAAACACTGTGGAGACAAGAGTATTTCTGAGACGAAGTGGAACGCATCGCTTCGCGAGAATCATGGATTCAGCACATTTGTATGATACTGAAGAAGAACGGGAGTTTCAGATATGTCAGGAAGGAGTTATCGCTGTTGACGAAGGTTAAGAAGCAATGATACTGTTGTATGCCACTTGAGCATATGCCGTTGGTACTCGAGGCATGCAACCCAGCCTCGGTGAAGTACAGGGCATTCTCCTGGTGGTTTTACGAGCGGGAAATTGCTCATGACGACGCTTTTCGGCAAAAGTGAAGGCATGGCATGTCATGAGTTGTGGTTGCCTTGGACGCTCGGTAATTAGTTCTTGTTCGGCCGTTAAGGCGATTGTGTAACATAAGAAAAAACTTCTCTTTGGTTTATCCCATTCGTTTCACTCTAAGTGGGCTACTTAGCTTTCATTCTTTGGTTGCGAAAAGGACTTGAAAGCATTCTCAACCTTCTTTTTCGCCCATGCTGCAAATGGCAAAGCCATATCCTGCGAAACAAGCTTAATTTGTCTTTCATCCAAACCCTTTGCTGCCACCTTATATCCGAATTCCAACATGTTCTGGGATTTCTTTAGCTGCGGGTACATCCTTAAAGCGTTTTGCATGAAACGATCGCTGTCCTTGCCATAAATGGTTTGCGCAATGCCTTTGTCCAACGCGTTTTCATACATTCCACGTCCGAATCCGCCCTTGAGGGCGTTCACCAAGGTCTTTGAGCGCTCGTCGCCTTGCACCGCGCCGAGTGGATACCATAATTTTGCGCGCTGGGAACGGACGAATATCGCGAAAACGGGTGTGCCGTCCTCGGGTAGAGAAGGAGCAGCGCCTGGCTGGCGAGGTTGTTGCAGTGGTTGACGAGACCTGGGGCCCTTTCTCATTTGCGGTGGGCGTCGAGTTGAAGGGGTCAGTTGTGGTGTTTCGGCGGCATTTTGCTTGATTGGCACAGCTGGGCAACGCAAAGATGAAGAATTAATCGACTGGACGGCCGGTCTTAGGGACAGAGTGTTAGCGAAAGCCGGCTGCGGAGATGTCATTGTTCAACTGTGCTCAATTGAAAAGAAACGCTTCTCAGTGTCCGTTTTGCCCTAAGCGTTCGAAAAGCGCGGCGTGAGGTGCAGAAATCGCTGGGCAGCTCTAGTACCGATGAAAACTCTGCGAAGTCGGCTGAGGCGTGTCGACACGGGCGGTACACGGGCGGTGAAAAGTGGTTTAGAGAGAGATATTTGAAGCGGCAGGCGTGTCGGTTCGAGCGGGAGAAAGGCACGCTCTGCGGAGTTCGCTCTGCAGAGCAGAGCCGGAGATTGCACGCGTCGACGCTGTACTTGCGGCCATCGGCTCTTTCGTCAAACGCCCCGTGAGCGGTAATGTACTACCAAGTGGCAAGTCCCTATTGGCTATACCAGTCAAATTTTCTTTTCGTATGGTTGAAAAAGATAAAAAATTCCCCCTGCACATCACAATCGGCGCTCCTGGTAGCTCAGTTGGTTTGTGCACAACATAGAGCATTTGACTGTAGTAGATATGCGACCATCAAAATGTCCTTAGTTCGATTCTAAGTCAGGAGAGACGCGCTGCACTTTTGTCGGTCAGAACGTTATCTGCCCCGTCGACGTCCAACCCGTGATCAGCAGTTGGGGACGAGTTGTTTCACCACCCAGCAGTCGTTTTTTGACTATCTGCCTGTCCAAGAGGTGCGACTTTTCAAAGCCTTTAGGGAGGAACCATCAAGAGTGCGGCTACAATCTGTTGTACACAATTGCAGAATGGAGAACCAAGTGCAACCGCAGCCTCACCGTTATGAGGCTCATATCCAAATGCCCAACGCTTTTTCTGCAAGCGTTGTAGCACAAGCCGTTTCCGTGGACCCAGAACTCCGCCCACACATGGCCACACGCGATGTAAAGGCGGAAGATGACTTCATACACATCAACATATCTGCTACAGACGTCAAGACATTGCGAACGGTTGTGACTTCGCTTTACGACTTCATTCATGTTTCTCTGCAAGCAACTGCACAATTCGCATGAGGAAACCCCCTTCTCTCCCGTCAACGCTAAAGCACCTCAAGTCTCACTCCAACCCTTGCCCTGCTTGCCGTCCATGATGCGAACCCCAAACTTCTCCTGCGCTTCTTCTCTGGCCTTGTCACATGCCGCAAAGACTTGCTTCAAATCCTTTTCGCGCGCCCCGTGACGAACGCTCCGTCTGAAGCTTACGAGCAACTCCATAACGTCCTTAAAGCGCTCTGCATCACCGCTCTGCGCATCTTCCGTTCGTTTCTTACCAAAGCGCTCCACATCCAGACCGAGGTCGCTGAGAGTACGCCGAACATAATCTTGTGTCATGTCGTGCACAACCGCCGCAGCCCCCGATTTGGGCGAATCATCTTCGTTCAATGATTTGTTTGCTCTTGTCACTAACTCAGAGATCATTCCCATCACTCGTGACGTATCGAAATCATCCGCTATCGCTTCGTCTATGCCGTCTTCCATTGTCCGCAGTGAGTGTTCTAATTGCGTTGCATGTTCGCACGCAGGGTGCATTCGATGTACACGACCCGTCTCGTTTCCGCTTTGTATCGAGTTAGTAAGCACCTTGCGATCAAGAAACGATCTTACCCTGGAAAGGTATGATTCAGCATCTGCAAGTCGTTCGTCGGAGTAGTCAACCGGCGTCCAGTATCGATGAAGCAGGCAGAATATTCGGAACGCATCTGCACTGCCGCCATTTTGCAAAAACTCTCGTACCGTGATGAAGTTCTTCACGGACTTTGACATCTTTCTTCCCTTCAAATGCAAATGGCCGCCATGCAGCCATGTATGTGACCATCTAAAGCTTTCGTGTAAAGCCTCATTTTGTGAGCACAGTCGTGCCTCCGCTACAGCGAGCTCATTCGTGTGATGAGGGAATCTTAGATCGATGCCACCAGTGTGCAAATCTAAACCTCGCCCCATTGTGGCCATAGCCATGGCCGAGCATTCTATGTGCCATCCCGGTCTCCCTGAGCCCCAAGGGGAATCCCATTCACCACTGGTTGCCGTGCTGTCATCACTTGCTTTCCACAACACAAAATCCCGTCGATCTTTCTTTTCTGCAGCGAATCCATCTTGTTCAGGGTCTGCGTTCATGGCACTGTCTTGCTGAGAATGCATTCTTGACGGATCGAGCTGACCGTAGCGTGCTCCACTCGATTCTACTGAAAAGTAGACATTTCCCTTCTCTGTAACATAGGCTTTTTTCGATTTGACTATCTCTCCAATCAAGCTTTGTAGCTCATCGATATGTTCAGTGACTCTCAAAATCTTGTTCGGTGAAAGTACATTCAGGTCGTCCATGTCTTCGAAGAATCGCGATTCGTATCGCCGCGCAAGCGATCGGGGACATTCATTACGTTCTTTGGCGCGTGTCAGAATCTTGTCGTCGATATCTGTCACACCCATCGCGTAGGTGATTCTTAATCCTGCACAAGTGGTCAGAATTCTTCGAATGATATCGAAGGAAACATATGAGCGTGCATGGCCAAGATGTGCATCGTCATATACGGTGGGACCGCATGTGTACCATTTGAACTCATCTGCATTCGTGCAGCTCAGCAGTTCTTTTTCGCCGTTCCGCAACAAACTGTTTCGTACCAGAAACGGTCTTTTCCCACGAATTGTGCGAACAACCGAGCGGGCAATTTGCTCCCCTATACTCATTGTTTGATTACCCCACTAGATGAGTTCGAAGTCTTGGAAGGGAAAGGCGAAGATCAGTGGTTGAAAAGGAAGACGTGTATGCCAGAAATCAGATGAGATACTGAAGCAAAACAACAGATCCGCCCAAAGTCGCAACAACCCGCCACCTAGTTCAGTACGTTTCCAGCTCTAGACGAAGAAATGTTTCTATTCGGTTGCTCGATGTATTGAAAATGGTCAGATTTTGTCGTTCGCTACCCAAGGAATTATGTGATATTGTAACTCGATTCTCATGCGCCTCTGATGCGGAGCAGAGGTACAAGCTATTTGGCTTTCAAAAGTGCACGGTTAACCACAGCAAGTACCACGCTCGTCTTGTTAATCCATAGCCAATGCTATGAATATCTAGCTCTCTAATTTGGTTTTTGTGTCGTTTGGTCGACACCATAAAGAAGACCAGCTCGCCTGATACCCTGTTGCCCGTGTTAACTTGATGCATCTCACGTAGTCCTTGATGGCCATGACCTTCTTCTCCCTTCTTCTCCATAACAATGAAAATTTCAACTTTACGCAAAATGATAAAAAACTTTGCAAAAGATGTTCACATGCAAGGGCACGAAATTGACTATAGGGAAAGGTACTGTCAGCGAAGAACCGCTTCCTCCCTCTCTGCAGAAGCAATCCGCTCATGTACTCGGCTCTTTCGTAAGGCTGATCCTTCATTCCGTTCTTGGTACTCCGCGCATACTTCAACTGAAAGCCATAGTAAATCAACCAGTCCATTAATCAAACTTAAACCTGTTCTCCACGCCGTCAGAACTCGCTGTCATATAAATCCTCGCAACAGTCATGTCTGACGAGTTATTCGAATTGCGCAACTACTTCTTTCTTGGGAATCTGGCCTCAGCGATTCAAGAGGGTGAAACAGTGTCTGTTGATGATCAGTCAGCGTCAAGTGAAAGAGATGTAATTCTGAAACGGATTGACCTCGCCAAAGGCAACTATGACAAGTTGATTGCGTCCATCTCTGACGACTCTGCACCAGCATTGTTCCTTGTCAAATTTCTAGCGCAGCTTCAAAAAGATCCTAGTTGTTCGAAAGAGGTCGCTGCCAAGGTTCAAGAAATATCGAGTGACGAAATTGCTACCGCGTCGCCGAAATGTCTTTTGATGTGTGCGGTAATCTACGCACATCTTGGTGATTTTGACAGCGCGCTACGCTGTGCAACAAAAGTTCGATCGTTGGAGGAGTTATCCGTAATGGTTCAGGTCTTGTTGCAAATGGACAGACCAGATGTTGCTGAGAAAGAGGTTGTAGAAATGCAATCTATCGATGAGGACGCAACTCTCACGCAACTTGCGAACGCCTGGGTTCACCTTTACAAAGGAGGAGAAGGGGTTCAAGAGGCTATTTACATGTATCAGGACCTCCTTGAAAGACACGGCGCCACGGATCAAATCTTAAACGGAATGGCAGTTTGTCACCTTGCGATGGGAAAGCCCGAAGAGAGCGAACGAGTTCTCACTGAAGCTCTTACTAAGAACCCGAATTGTGTAACATCACTGATAAACGTAATATGTACTTCGAAGTACAGAAACAAGCCCACAGAGCTTGTCAACAGGTATTTTGCCCAATTGGAAAAGATCGCCCCTTCGAACGCATGGCTTCACGATTACCGTCAGAAAGAATCTGAGTTTGACACTCTTGCAGAAGAGTTTGCTGCTGCATAACTTCCAACTAGGGCAAGTCATCTGTTCTCACAATGCAAGTTGGGAATGTCAATAAACAATATTTTATCGTTGCTCCGCATCAGAGGTTGTCGCTAATGCCCTTAAGAGATCTTCTAAGATACTACCTGAAGCACTCGAGTGCGTCCTTACGGCGGGTACACATGGCGTATTATGCTGTGCCTGGTGAACAGAACTTGATTGTCGCCAGACGGATTGACAAGGGGTGGGATCTAGAGAACTTCCTTCCCGCCGAAAGAATGGGAACGCATTCTAAGGACATCGGGAGTTAGTTCTTTCGGATGGCTGGTTTGTGTGAGCTTGCTTCTTCAATTCCGAAGTCACAGTATAATTCTACTAGCTCTAAAAACTAATCTACCCCAACGCTATCTTCCCAGAAGAAGAAACACTTGCTAATCAATTTCGCTTTCCCTGCATCGCGTCAAAAGAAAATTTAGTTCATCACGACGGGCGGACTGCAATGCGAGTGCCCTAAGCGGAGACACAGACGCATCAAGGTAATTGATTCGATGTTATCGTCGCCATTCTACGCAGAATATATCTCTGGGGGTGACCCTTGAGTAGACGGTTTTGAGATTTGTGAGCACGAAAACAAGATCTTACATTGCACGTGTACTTGGTTTAGGAACGTCTCTAGGCCTTAGAGTTTGATCCCTAGCCTTTCAAGTCTCAAAGCGGACAACTGTAGGGAAGCAAATTGTGGTACTTAGCTTTATGAAGACAGTCAGAGTGCTTTTACAAACATGAAGTCTGCGAAGTGTAGAAGGTATCTAACAGTAATAAACTAGCTCGCGTGCAAGTGTTCGTAGCTTTGACGATCGCGGGTGACCTCAAAGCTTTGAAACGTCAGTAAAGTAATCCAGTAATACTTCGTTGCTTACGATATAGATTCAAACTTGGCGGACACTTACTGAATAAATCCAGTTTGTATGAAAGAAGAATAAGCGTAATCAGTTGCGAACATCCTAGAAAGAGCTTGGAACTCTATGAAAAATGTCACCTATACCTCAAACGGATGTGAAGGGATGCTGTTTGTTTCTTGTGCTTCTCCTTAGAACAAGTGATGGCAAAGCTCTTACCTCACGCATGTAAGGCCGTTTTCGAATAGGAAGTGAACTCACTCTTGAAGCAAGCTTCAA